CTTGTCCCACAGTGGAACATTAGGGAACTTGACTTGGGCTTTTAAATAGAAAGCCAATCAAAAAATTGTTTGACAAAAAAGCTAAAAACAAGCTTTTTGCATTAAAAAAATCATGTTTAAAAATAGAAAATATTCATTTGTCTTTTTACATGTGTGAAAAGCTGTTTTGAACACAAAAAAAGAGAAAAAAAAAACTGGTGAACAACTAAACACTAAACAAGTGCTTTATCAAAAAGTTCAATCCAAAAAAGCATCTTTTTCATAAGCCCATTTGGACCAAAAAGCTAGCACTCCAAAACATGGAGTCATCTACCAAGAAGATATGGATCATCTATGAGAAGTTATTTCTAGAGCATCTCCTTCAAGCATGATATATATATATATGCTTGAAATTAAATTCAAGGACTATAAATAATTCAATGGTTTTGTCCATTAGTAGAGAGCAAACCTTAAATGGTTTAGCAATGTTGGCAATTGGGTTTTGAACTACACAAGCCATCATTGGCATTTGTATTTAGGCCCGTTCACTTTTCGGTAAGTTATTTATCTAGGTAAATGTACTTACCCGGTTAAGTGTTTTCTAGGAAAGACTTACCCGGGTAAGTGCATTTACCCATATTCTTTTTTTTCCCATGTAAATAAGTATATGACCATTTTAGTCATAAAATTCCATTATTAAAAAGGACGTTTTTTTTCCATTCGTGTTGGCAATTTTCCCCACAGGTGAGAAAGTTATTTATCCACCTAGGAGATGGGTATCACTTACCCGGAAAAATAAACTTTCCCTGATCCCCACATAAATCTGAAAAAAGAACATGGGATTCTTGGTCAATGGGAATCAAAATCCCATTGACCAACTTTCCCCCCTCTCAAAACCTAGAAAAAGAACACCCCCTTAGTGGAAACTTGTGGGAGTACTTAAGGAGTCCAGATTTGCTAACCACAACACATTGCTGCCATGTTCATCCAGCCACACATAGAGAATACTCATGACATAAAGTACAATAGGTGTTTCCAATGAACAACAAAATTAATGTGGCCAGTGTGTTGTGGTCAACAGATCCAAACTTGTACATAAGGTTCCTATGCTATTTCCCTGCACTTTTTCTTGCGCCTTTCTCCAGCCCTTGAGTGGTTTAGTAGGGATGACCACGGGTTGGGCCAAGCTAGTTTTTTACAAGGTATCAACAACATTAAGACCAGCATGGGTTCAACCTAGTCCGTACCTTGGGCCTAATATTACATGTCTAGGCTCGATCTTGGGCCAGACACCTAAGCCGGCTTGTATGAATTAAAATTTTTAATTGAACTTTATATTCATAATTACAAAAAATTATAATTATAAATTATTGTGTATATATTAATATATACATGCCATAACTATTTGGTAAAATATCATAAATACCATATATGGATATATACATGCCATACATAGGGATGGCAATGGGGAGGGTTTGAGGAGGGTTTTGTAGATTCTAGACCCTACCCACCTCCCTAGACCTCCCAGCTCGTATCCTCTCCAAAACCCCTAGTGGGTTGGATTTTTAGAATTCAAACCCTCCCCGTACATGAAAATGTAAAACCCTCCCTGCATTTGAGAGTGAGGTGGGTCGGATTGACAGATTGATCTAGAACCCACATCTAATTTCCTATTATATAAATAATAAGCAACTAAAATAGCATGAACATGCATCAAAATTTCCAATTATTTAATTAAATGTGTAAAAAAACATAAATGATCAATTATCCTTTACATAGAATTCAAAATATTATTACATTCATAATCTTAAAATCCAGCACTGTACCCATACTCAATTACTCATATAGGTTGTGAAATCCTAAAATTCCCTATTCCAAAATTCATTTTTAAGACTAAACCCTCCCCATTGGGATGGTAGGGTAGAAATTGCCATTCCTAGCGATACATACTACTGTTACATATATATATATATATATAGTAAAATATTATACTATGCCCATCAACCAACTAACATACCAATTGAGCCACCCATCACTTGACTATATATGATACCTACAAACCAATAGCCTATCAAATCGATATTATAGGTAACCACCCAACTCTTAGAAGGTTTCACCTCCCAACTTTAGTTGATGTTCCAACTTTACATATCTAAAATACCCTTGTTATTTATTCAATTATTCATTTTATCCTCATCTCTTTTCTTAAATTATATTAATTATTATATTTTATGTTTATATTATTATATTCTGTACAACCTACGTAAGAAAAGATTTTTACACCCAATACAATTAGATGTTCAAAGTTCAAACTTTTAATTTACAACCCACAATCCCCTTGTTATTTATAAAATTTTCAATTGTCGCAATTTCCACCCTACCTAACAAGTACCCACCCCCGATGCGGCAGGTCTTTTTTTGAAAACCAAATTTTGGAATGGGAATGGGTTTTGGAATTTTACAATTCATAGGAATATGGATAGAGTATATGAACTTAATATTATAGTTGAATTTAATAATGTTTTGAACTATAATTGAAAGTTTATGTTTTTTTACATGTTTCAATCAAATAATTAGAACTTTGATGTTTGATCATACTATTTTACTTGTTTATTGCTTATAAATAACATGAAATAATAGGAAATTAGATGCGGGCTTTGACTTGACCTGCCCCACCCTCAAATGTGAAGAGGGTAGGGTTGGCGTAGTTGGGGAGGGTTTGGATTATGAAAGTCCAACCCACAGCTTTTGGAAAGGATACGGGTTGGGAGGTTTGGGGAGGAAAAGGTTCAAAGTATCAATACACCTAGTACACATGAACATGCATCTATGGTGTTTGAATGCTATCAAACATTTTTTTATTTTATTTTTTTTCCTTTGAGATTTTAATAGATGATCGATTTTAATAATATTAACATGTAAAAAAAGGTGTTTCTTGAAAAACCTTAAAAAAATGGTTTTTAACATTGGCAGGAAAGATATAGAATTTACAACAAAACCATCTTCGAACCCGCCCATTGCCATCTCTATCCACTTTCTCCTTTGTCACCAAAATTCACCAAGAGGGTGGAAGTTCTGGTTGGTCAAAGTTCTTCTATCATCATACTCTTCTGGCATCATAGAAATTGTTACATGCAATGGGACCCTTTTCATAGATTGAATGTATAGGAGTATTTGAAAATACTAAAAACACATGAAAACGTGCAGAAGATCCAATCAAATTAAACAAGAATCAAGATAGATGGAACCTTGAACATGTTTTGCCTTTGTTAGGGTTGCAAACAATGGCGGAGTTTGGCAAGTCTTTTCCTGCAGTCTTCTAGGATTTGATAAGTTTGAAAAACTGAAAATCAATCTTTTTCCGTTTGGTAACCAAAAGCCCAAAAGATGAAAAGACACATGCGCAAAAAACCCCAAAAGACCAAAGCACCAAATTTCAAGAAGTTTCAAATGAAACTTTCTGGTCTTTCTGCATGATATATAGCCTCTAAATGTGTTTTTAAAAGCCCAATAGACCAAGACACTTACCAAACAGTCTTTGTCTTTAAAGACAAGACCCCAAAAGTTTAATATGCTTTTTTGGCCATTTGGACTACTAGAAGATGTTTTTAAAAAGATTTGACAAACAGCACCAATATCTCTTTGTCGAATCCGCATCTGCTAACCACAACACATTGCTGGCTACGTTCATCCAGCCCCACATTGGAAACATCTCTTGTACTTTATATTGCCAATATTCCTAATGTGCAACTGGATAAATGTGGACAGCAATGTGTTGTTACTAAATTGTGATGTGTTCCAGTTGCATGCAAGTTATTTTTACTTGATTTTGTTGATGAAATACAATATTTATTTTATTAATAATATATAATATTTTGATAATTTTTAATGTAATTTTTAATGTAATTTATCTGATGGCAATGATGGCAATCAGAATTCCATATAAAGTCTATATCAAATATGATCTGATTTGAATTCGAATATAAACAATCAAATTTTGATCTACCCATATCCAATTTGATTTGATCCTTTTCAGCCCTACACCTTCACAAATTTTTGGGGGTGGACTGACCAGTGATTGCACTAGCCATAGCCATCCCTTCCACTGCAGTAAAAAAAGGGTAATATGTTGAAACTTCCCATGAAGCTTTTAAGCGTTGTTGCAAGTAGACCCCTTATGTAAGAATCCTCTTACAAGAGGCATTAAAATGTCCAAAATACCCATATAATTACTTTTCACCAAAATATTTATTTTCCAAATTTCCCCTTTGGCTCAGTTTGGTACACTCTACAAATTTGCATTTGTACTCCTTCTAAACTGAGCCTTCATATCAATCATTGCCCCAAGCCCTTTCAATCTCTTTTTTTTAATTGATTTATTTTCCAAATTTATCCTTCACATCAATTGCTCAAAGATAAAACTGCAACTTTGAACTGTCTTTCTTTTATTATTCATAAAGTTTGTGTTGTTTTTTCACGTAAAAATCAGTCTTACTAGTGATTTTATGAATATTTTAGACATTTTATATCTCTTCTTAGAGGATTTTAACAAAGGAGATCGAGGTTTCAGAAATTTATCAAAAAAAAGAAGAAATATAAAAGATAAAAGAAAAATGACAGATACGTTTTGGCTACGAAAGATTGGCGGGGCGGCCAACGTCGTCCACTTAAAATAGGTCAAAACCTAATTGGTTACTAAATAATACATTTTTTTCTTTTTTTATTTTATTTTAGGGCATCATCTACTGAATCAGTAACAGATTAGGTGGGACCCGCAGTAACCATTCAATAACCGTTGAATTGGAATCTGCACCCCCAGATAAGATCTACCTTCCTGATCGTTAGTTTCCTGCTACACAGAGAGACGCGGTGATTCTGGATACTGAGGAGATAGATACCGTCTGATTGGGATCATTTCATCTAAGTTGTATATAAAAGCGTAAACAGTTAGGATGATGATAGGATGGAGAGTGGTGGAATAGTCCCGTAACAGAACCCCGTGGTCCCATGCCTTGGCTGTAGGACCCAGAGCTCATATGGTTGCGACCGAGGGGTAAAGCGTTTGAAATTGAGGGATTCTCCTCCTTTTCCTTGTGGGTCTTCGTTTCCTCCTCCGATTTCAATCCATCTTGATTGGAAACTATGTAAAATCCAGCTCTGCTATTTTAATGGCATCAACGATCTTTGGCTGGTGATGGAGTCTCACGGGGAATATTTATTGCAGGTATTACCGTATGTCGAATTATTATCTCTAATGGCGTAAATATATGTGTTGGATGGATTTCCTCGTTCAATGTTTATTTCCTAGATTCTGGAATCCAAGTTTCTTGATTGGTGATTTCTGTTTCTTGATTGGGGGGGACTGAAATTCTGTTAAATTTCTCTCGTAAACAGAGGATTCATTCTGAGGAATATCTGTTTTTCTTTCTTTTAGCTCTTGTTTTGACAGATTCAAAGAGGAATTTATTGGGTATTCGTTGAATTTTGAAATCTAAAAGCTGTTGGTGAGGAACGAATCTGTTCTTCGTGTTATTGGGATATAGATTTGATGCGACTGGCGGAAAATTGACCTTTTGATTTAGGGATTATGAAACCCTAAACAATTATGTTGGTCAACTTTCTTGATTTTGAGGTTGCTGGAGTGGAGTTTTGTTGGTGCCTTTTGGAAGTTATTCTTGATTTCGAATTTATCGTACTGGAATTTTGCTGGTATTTTTTGGAGGTCATTGATGCCGTTACTGATGAATTGATTGAATTGTATTTGATGCTTGTCTCAGTGCTTGAACGATTGATTGGGTTTATCTTTTTCCAGATTGTGATACCCTAAAATCTTAGGACATGGATTGGTTGTTGGGTATAGTTAAAAGAATTTCATGCCAACCCCAAGATTCTTTTCTGATGACTCCAAGGCCGTCTTCTTATTAGCATTTAACAACGTTCAAGTTGGGTTTCTGGAATTTGTTTCTTGCCAAGGAAATTGGTTTCTAAAGGTCAATGGGATCCATTCAGAACACGGTTTATTACTGTAGTGTCTCCAAGGGAAATGAGATTCTCTATTCCTATAGTTGTGGCGACCATGAGATCGAGAACTTAGCTGCTTTGTGCTTGGAAAAAACTCCACCCTTCCACAGTTGGTATTTTGAGACCATGGGAAAAAAGACTTTTGGGTTCTTGATGGAAGATGAGCACATATACTTTACAATAGTAGACGAGGGCCTTCAAAATCCAGGTATTCTTCAGTTCTTAGAACATGTGAGGGATGAGTTCAAGAAAGTTCGGGAAGGTTCAAGGAAGGGCTCAAGGGGTAGTTTTTCTGGGTTGGATGCTGTTTGTCTCCAAGAACAACTCGTTCCAGTTATCCGTCGCTTGATATCCTCCTTGGAGAATGTCTCCCAACCAAACTCATTGGAGCAAGAATCTCAATCTGATGGTACTCGGACGCCAGAGATTCACCCATATCATCATCAGCCAGTTACATCACCAACGCCTGAATGCACCAGTGATGCCCAAATTGAAGTTGCAACTCCTAAGGCCCCATTATTAGGGAAGCCTAACAGGCAAGAAAAGAAGAAAATGAAGGATCGGGCAATTGATGTCCGAGAAACTGATCATGAGGAGCACCGGAGGTCCACAGATAGGGGAATTAAGGTTAGTGTGACAGCTTCTGAACCAAATCATCAAGGCAAGGTGGTATCTTCTATTTCAGTACAAAAGGGTTCTAGTTCTATGAGGATTAGGACAAGTTCTCACCATGCTGAGAGGATGTGGTGGCGCCAAGTTTTTATTGTAATTGTAATCGATGCCGTTGTATGTTTAGTTTTATTCGTGATATGGTTAGCCATTTGTGGAGGCTTCCAATGCATTTCTAATTGAGACTCTCTCTCTCTCCCAAACTTGAGTGCCGTTTGATCTTGAATCTGGAATTTCATAAGGATTATATTTGTCAAAAAAAATCATCATACTTTTGGATTGGAGAAATGAAGCATCAAACTTCTAGATGGATTTTTTAATCAAAGTGAATGAAAGAATTTATCTGTTTGAGTTATGAGCTTCAATCCAAATTACCAGTGTCATCATTCTTAGAAATTTCTTTGTATGGCAATCCCATATTTTCCAATGCATATATCTTTTGAGTTGGACACTGTGGTTGTACATTTTAAATGTTATTATAGAAATATAATAATGTTTTGATGTTCTTTTTCTTTATTCTTGCCTATCACATTCAAAGTATTCATTAATTAAGGCTTTGTTTGGATAAGCTTTTGCTTTTGAGTGTTGGGCTGTGGAAAACAAAACTGAGCCAAAGAGGTGTTCTGATCGTTTGGTAAGAGTTATTTTTTGAAAACATTAAAATCTGAAGCCAAGGCATAAAACCTGAAATCGGGGTTTTATGCTTTTGGGCTTTAAAAGCACAAATCATGTATGCATGAATAGATCCCCATAATGCTTGGATGCATGTGATAGTTGTATGTATTTATGCATGCCTCTTTTCTTCTTGGTCTAAATTCTATCTTTTTAATTGTGGGCTATAATATTTTGTGTGTTTTTCTTTTCTTTTCAGTTTATCTAGAAGTCAAATTAGTACATGACAGGATAGGTTCGACAGGATCTTCAAAATAAAAAGTATAGTTCTTGACTTGTTTCAATCATACCTTTTAAGGTGGCACAAACATGGTGGAAACTGGAAAGCCATTATGTTTTGGGGCTTTGTTACATCAGTGAAGGTTAAAAGATGCAAAGCTTCCAAATTGGCTTGTGTTGCTGCCAAATTGGCCCAGTAGGTGCCTTAATTATACTTGCTTGAAGTGTCTCACAGTGATCTAAATGGTCCTTTTTGCAGAGAAGAGTCAAGTTGTCCTCTAGAAACTAAAACTCTCTTCAACCGTTGTCTAAATTCAAAATTATCCTTCAGTTTTGACATTTTGCATGCTCATCCTTAGGATTGCACGAGTTACTTGACCATCATGGATACCTCCAGAAGTGCAAATTCCAGTTTTCACAAGTCTAAAAAATTCTTGCACAAAACAATCCATTTTTTTTCCAGTTTATTGGTTTTGTATTGCAGGGGTCCTTTTCTACATGTCTTCTTTGCAGTGAAATTGATCAAAGTGCCAAAGGGGGGTGAGGGGGGTGATGACCAGGAAGAGATAGGGCAATGGAGGAATTGATTCTTTCATGCTTCACCATCATTATTAAGGAAGATTCTAGGGAGACCACCCAACTTCTGTTTATCAATGCTGCCTCAGCTCCATGGAAAATTAATTCTTTCATCATAGATTGCCTTAAATCTTTTTTTTTTTTTTTTTCACTTGGTTACTCTTGTATCTAATAGTTTCAACTAGGTGGCTCATGACTCAAATTGGTCAAATTGGCTTATTTGCTCTTATTAACTGTACGCTAGAAAGAAAATTCACTTGACTAATGACTATACAAAGCACCTTATCTTCTGCTTTTATTTTTATTTTTTTTGAAAGGTAAATAAAAGAGCCACTAACAAAGAGAAGAAACGAAATGTTCTATACAAACAGAGGACTTTCCCACTAAATACAATCCTCATCAAAAGATTTAGCCTTCTGGGCCAACATATGGGCAGCCCTGTTTTTATCTCTAGGAATGTAATTAAATGACACAGAAACCAAAAGCCTTTTGACAATACAGATTCTATCTACTAGACTTGATATTTCCAAGGAATTAAAGAGGCTTAATTGCATTCTTAGAATCAGACATCACAAGAATCGATTTCCATTGCTTGTCCTTGGCAAGACAAAGAGCTTTCCAAATAGCACTCATCTCAGCTTCCATAATGAATTTTACCAAAAAATGTCTATTAATAAGGTAGATATTAGAGTGCAAGAAACATTAATTCCTCACCACACTTGACTGGTGCAAATCTTGTAAAACATAGCTCTTTATGCTATTATGTTCTAGGTATTCTTTTTGGAAGCCTTTTGTTTAACCTATATAATCTTTGTCAAGGAAAGAGGGAGATATTTAATCAAGAAATTTATTTCCAAAATAAATTCTATTTATTATAAGGAAACAAAGTACCTTGGGAATTCTTAATTCATCTCCTTTTTTATTGCACGAAACCCAGAAAATGGCACAACAAAATAAAGCAAAGTAGAGATATGAAAAGCAAGATAAGAGAAAAAAAAAAAAAGAAAAAACAAAACACAGATTTACATGGTTCAACCTTTGGCCTACGTCTACAACGAAGGAAGAGCAAAAATCAACTAAAGAAAACTATAATGGAGGATATAAGATTGAGCAACTTCTCTCTCTCTCTCTCTCACACACACACACACCACCCTAACTCCCTAAACCCCAATACATCTGAAGCACTCATTCTCACTCTTCTGTTCGTGCCTAATACAATGGAATACGTATATGAGAAAATCCAACAATACATATTCATGTTAGAATCATCAAATTAAGGGAGAACAGGCAAGACAACCCAAGTCCTCTGCATCCATCATAGACCTCAATGAAAATTTTTCTTGGGGATTTTCTTCACAAACATTGAGTTGGATCATGAAACAGGCTGCAAACAAGAATTTCAGGCACAAATCGACAATATTGAGTTCAACCAAAATGATCAAATAATCCAAAATAGAAAAAATATATATATTCCAAACAGAAATACAATTTTAAATATAAGCTCCTAAAGAGAATTTTCAAACAGAATTCAAAGGCTGTGAACGAGAATAATGCCACCCAAAAAGTTTTAAGAATGATAAACTTTCACAAATTTGTTTCCATTGCAGTGAAGAGGGACACCCATATATAAGTAATAATCTGAAAAAGTTAAGATGGCGTTGATAAATTCATATTCTTTTCTTCCTCTTTGCCTATTAGTATGAGTTTCTTTGACCTTGTGCCTTTTACTTGAAATCGAAGGTGTAGTTTACTATGGAAGGTTGCAGTGGTCCGTTTGGAAGTGCAGAGTAGTAATAAAGACTTGATAAAAAGCTTTGAGAATATTTTGGATCTGGACGGGCAAAGAACCATTCGAAAAGAGGAGGATATCAATAGCCCGTTTGATTGGAGAAGGTATTTGGTGATGAGGGTTTTGATTGATGAAAAAGTCTCAAGTCCTGGGGTATTAATTAAGGACCCAAATTACATTGGTGATTTGTATAATGATTCTTGTCTTGTTAGGTTCAATTTTAGAGTAGATAGGGGTGGATTCGAGCTGAGCCGAGCTGAATACTTGGCTATTCAAGCTCGGCTCGCTGAAACTGTATTAGGCTCAAGCTCGAGTCGAGTTAGAAACATGGGCTCGAGCTTGGCTCAGTTCAAAGATCGCAAGTTCGAGCTCGGATCGGCTCGAGCTCGACTGTAAACCAATTTTTTTTAAATATATATATATAAATATTTTTTTATTTTACATACAAAAAATTAAGAATTATAAAAATTATTTACTATTATACATAAAAATAATAATATTATATATAAAATATTATTATATAAAATAAAAATTATTTATTATATATATTTATTTGTATATGTATGTATGTATATAATAAAAAAAATTATTTATTATACTAGGCTCGTGAGCCTCACGAGCCGAGCTTCACTAGGCTCGAGCTCAGCTCGATTAGCAAACGAGCCTATATATCAGGCTCGAGCTCAGCTTGAAGTTCAGTTTAAACTGAGCTGAATCAAACTTTTCACGAACTGAACTCGAATAACTTGTAAAAAGCTCACCTCGTGGCCGCCCCTACTTGTGGAGAATAGATCATGAACTTTTTTATGAAAACTTTATTGTTTATTAGAAATGCAGTTTGAATGGAGTTCCTTCTTCCTATAAACCGTTAAGGATTGATATTTGGATTCATATCTTGGGTCTCTTAGTGGAATACCTTAGTAGGTATGCCCATTGCAGCAATCATTGGTGGTCTTTATGAGCTGAAAGCATATGATGTTAAAAAGTGAAGTCTGCTTAATAATGAATCGGTGAGAAGCTTGTACTATACCTTTTTTTTAAATAATGATTTGGTCATTCTCATTTTTTAGTATGAGCAACTACCTCATCTCATTGATGTTCCTTTTGTGGTTATCTTAGGTCATCAACTCTCATTCTTATTCATTCTTTCCAATAATAATATTCTAGAATTCACAAAAATGGGTAGAAATAAGCAGAATGAGAAAATGTTGTTAGGAGCCAAATACTTTTGTGGGGAAAGAATGAGAATAAATTTTAAATTTGTTTGGTTATAAATTTTATTTTTATTCATTTTCTTCATCAACTAAATTATTATATAGGTATATGTTTTTTTTGAGTATATATATATATATATAATGATATATTGATATATAAAAATAAAATTTATAGGTGTGTTTTGGCCAATCAAAACACATCTATAAATTTTGATAAATTCCACATGATTGATTTACATGTTTATGATACTGGTTTATCAGAATACATAAATAAAAAAAATATATCAGAATATTAACTTGTACTTACTATGGGGGTCATTCTCTAGTAAAAAGGAAACAGGATAAGAAACTAGAAAAGCTTTTGCATATGGTTGCATAGAGAAAATATAAAAGAAAATTTAAATGAAGAAATTAGCATCTATTTAAAACTATTTGAAAGGAAATTAGTTTGCTAAATTGAATAGGCAATTGTGCAAATAAAGAAAAGAGCTTAGAACTTCTAAATAGAAATTAAATTGTAAAATTGTAAAATTGTAAAATTAAAAATAAAATTAATAACATGAACAAGTACAAAATGCCTAGTAATTTCATCAAATTTATAATAGTATATTTGATAAAAATAATACATTAAGAAAGTCATAAAATAAAGTGAAACGTCATATAGTTGTGTTTCATATTAACTATTTTCATTTTTCAAAGAAGCTTTGTGTACCAATAGTCATAAACCGCTGGCTTAGATTTCAATCGACAAATGGCCAGTAGTAATTGTCCATTGGCATAAGTTTTCACGATAGAAGTAGTTGACAAACAAAGACCACTAGTCATTTGCTGATAAATATCTATGCTGTTGGCATAGAGCTTCTTTGAAGAATGAAAATGAACAAC